AAGAGTGGGAACAAATACTTAATTCCTCTCTGTGTTCCACTTTGCCGGGCACACCCCTGCCTGCAGACAGGAAGGACCAAAAGGTGCAACTGGCAGAGGCTCATGGTGGCCCCATTCCCCTGCTGGCTGCTCGGTGACCCTCTGGGGACTGGACTGTCCGCTACACTCCTTCTCTAGACCAGAGATGGGCTCTCAGTCCCACAGGGGCCAGCAGGTACACCAAGCTCAGGCTATGGGTATCCTGAGGGCAGCCGTAGGGACAAGTTCTGGGTCATCCTGGCTGGGACCAGGGTCTGGCCTGGGCCCCCAGCCTTGGAGAAAGGCCTGGCTGACCCCCCTAGCCCCTGTTCTGGAGGTATTAAAAAGCTTCATGCCGAGAGCTGAAGATGGGAGAAGAGCCGAGTGTCTGAGCAGCACTCCCAGCTTCCTCTCTCCTCTGCACCTCGCTCTCACAGCCTGCCCGCCCTGCCCTCCTGCTGCCTGCTCGCCCCCCCCCCAGAGCAACTTCCACCATGTCCACCTCGGCGAGTTCCCACTGAACAAAGGCATCAAGCAGAGTACATGTCCCTGTCTCAGGGAGATAAAGTCCAAGCTGTGTACATCTGGATTGACGGTACTGGAGAAGGACTGCGATGCAAGACCCGGACCCTGGACAGTGAGCCCAAGAGTATAAAAGACTTGCCCGAGTGAAATTTTGATGGCTCTAGTACCATGCAGCCTGAAGGCTCCAACAGTGACATATATCTCGTTCCTGCTGCCATATTTCAGGACCCTTTCCGCAAGGACCCCAACAAGCTGGTGTTCTGTGAAGTCTTAAAGTACAACCGCAAACCTGCAGAGACCAATTTAATTTAAGATATACCTGCAAACGGATAATGGACATGATGAGCAATCAGCATCCCTGGTTTGGAATGGAGCAGGAATATACTCTCATGAGCACTACTGCGGCGTGGGAGCAGACAGAGCCTACGGCAGGGATACTGTGGAGGCTCACTACCAGGCCTGCTTGTACGCTGGCATCAAGATCGCAGGGACAAATGCCGAGGTCGTGCCCGCTTGGTGGGAATTCCAGATAGGACCCCGTGAAGGAATCGACATGGGAGGTCATCTCTGGGTGGCCTGTCTCATCTTGCTCTGAGCATGTGAAGACTCTGGAGTGATAGCAACCTGTGATCCCAAGCCCATTCCTGGAAACTGGGATGGTGCAGACGGCCACACCGACTTCAGCACCGAGGCCGTGCGAGAGGAGAACGGTCTGAAGCACAGAGAGTCCATCAAGAGGCTGATCAGGCAGCACCAGTACCACATCCGAGCCTACGAGCCCAAGGGGGGCCGGGACAATGCCGGCGGCTAACTGGATCCAATAGAACCTCCAACATTAACGACTTCTCCTCCAGTGTGGCCAACCATAGCGCCACCATCCGCATTACCCGGGCTGTGGGTCAGGAGAAGGGGTACTTTGAAGACCAGCACCCCTCTGCCAACTGTGACCCCTTCGCAGTGACAGAAGCCCTCATCCACACGTGTCTTCTCAACAAAACTGGCGATGAGCCCGTCCAGTACAAAAACTAAGTGGACTAGACTTGCAGCCATCCAACCCCTTCCAATTACTTCATCCCGCTCCCACTCCCGCCCCTCAATTGTCATAACAAATGTAACTCACAAGCAGAATATAAAAATCTTTTTTTATTCCTCGTGCCCAGTTAATATCTCTTGCTTTCTTTGGCCAGGTTAGAGGGGTCAAGTTCTTAGTCTCTTCACACACACACACACACACGCTCATCACTGAAGCTTTCTAGTGTGTTAGTGGGGAGGGGGGCGGGAAAACAAAACCACTGTTTCACTTAATCAGGTGTTTGTCCAACAGGTGTAGCTATCTGGACAGTGAGCATAGTATCATACAGTGAGTATGAAGGGAGGGGAGGACCTTTTTCTTCTTTGAGGAGCTGAAGGGGGTAGGAGTGCTGGGCTTGCTCTGTGGTTAGGTTAGATACTCCCTTTTGTGGGGAAGTTCCATTTCTTAAAAGGCTATAACCAGCTTTCTTCTTTTTTTAAATTGATTTCAAAGAGGAAGAGAGATAGAAACATCAGTGATGAGAGAGAATCATTGATCGGCAGCTCCCTGCATGCCCCCTACTGGGGATGGAGCCTGCAACCTGGGCATGTGCCCTTGACCAGAATCGAACCTGGGATCTTTCAGTCCACAGGCCAACACTCTAGTTCAAGGGTGGGCAAACTTTTTGACTCGAGGGCCACAATGGGTTCTTAAACTGGACCGGAGGGCCGGAACAAAAGCATGGATGGAGTGTTTGTGTG